CTAAAGCTAAGCAATTTCCTTGGTCGATGCTTTGGGACAAGACAACTTTGATTCTATCTGATAGAGAGTGATGAAACTTAGTGTATAGTCGATAATCAGTTTGATTGCTCGATACTTTTGAGAAAAAAATAGATGTGCGATTAATTAATATGTGTCATCTATTTATTTGGGGATTTCGGCGGGGGACATCAGCCTCACTGTTGGCTTGTTTGGCTTTATTGCAGATTTATCTTTTATAAAAGTATCAAGCATTCAAACTAATTATCTAATCTTAGTCTAAGCAGAAAATGTTCACAATCGAACTCTTGTCTAGGGTTTGAATGGAAGCTACACACAAAGTTTCATCACTCCGCATCAGTTAGAATCAAAGTTCTCTTGTTCCAAAGCATCGAACAATGAAATTGCCTAGCTTTAGCGAAAAATCTTAATTATTGAACTGGTTAGAAATCAATAATTAGTCTTCTGTGTTCATTACGGTCGAAATTATTGAGGCCACAATATGTAAAATATGAAATTATAATGATACCTGACGATACAAACAAAGATATTTAACTGCGTCTAATTAGAACTAGTTTGTCAGATATAAAGTAAAGAAAAGCCCGACAAGAATATAAGAAAGATCTCGGAAACGTTGTCGGAGAAGGCGCCCGACGTAATAAATCTCCGCACATATTTGTTTCATTAACAAATAGGAGTCGGCTGTTATCAGAAAGTTCATTGGGCACAGCATAAAGCAGCAATGGTATGCCGTGCTTTAACTTAAGGCACTATCTGGCTAACAAGAAGCCCCGGGTTCCGTCGATGTCGAGAAAGCTCATCGAGATATTGCGGTGCGGTTTCCTATGGTCAGTCAGGAAAGATGGTACGGCAAGACACAGCGTGTAAGTCGTTCGGTTGGGGCGATGAAATGAGGTTCCGTGGACCCTTGACAGTTGGAATTCGATATAAGAGTAGGTCATAGCGCTGCTATCTAAGCAAATTTCCATGATGGCATAGTGTATGACAGTCTTCATTAGTCCTGTTGGTGCAGAAAAGTAAGATGTTAAACCCCATTTTATATTTTCTATGAACCTTGACATATTATGATACATTAATAATATTCTTTAGATATTTTCATAGTTTGTGATATATATACATATATATATCATCCACTAGAGTACCTTTATTTCCACATAGCCATTAGGTAAAATTTGGACGATCAAAAACCAAATTTCTCGGGTCATTGCTTCAGTAAAACCTAATTTCTCGGGCCATTGCTTCACGAAAACCTAATTTCTAGGGCCATTGCTTCCAGGAGAACCAAATTTCTTGGGCCATTGCTTAAGGAAAACCTCAATTTTCGAGCCATTGCGTCGGGAGTATGCATAATCAATATGATGGGCATATGTTCAGTCATATGTGGTGAGCTCTCAATAATAAAATAATTAATTTAAAGTAATTATCGGGTGGTTATTTCCAATAAAAGTATGGCATTTTTGGTATATATGGAAAGTAGAAATATCCAATATTACTCGAAAAATACTGAATTCCCTGAAAAAAATTCATGGAGCGCATACAGGACAAAAATGTACGGGTTCCCCTAATCGACAGCCCAGCGATTAGGAGTTTCTGCACGCGTGACGTCGAAGGTTGCACGCGTAGATTTAGCGCTCGATGTACATGTTGATAAACTTTATGAAGTTACACGTACAACAATTTCTGAGATAAAAATCACGGAAAAAGTCGCGGGCAGTGGATAATCCGACAATTTAATTAGACTTCGATATTTGTAATACATGGTCAGCGATAAAGGCAACATCGTCTTGTGTATGCAATGAATTATCCTCCGACTTCGCACCCGTTGTGTCACGTGACACAGACATGACCTCTTTTGATCGATTTTTTTATAGCCGGGTATTTGCCCTGACAATTGCAATGTTTAGAGAAGGATCTGAAGCAAAATTATGATAAATTAATTAGTTTGAATATGTTTTTAGTCCAAATATATCATCAAATCACCCAGTTTGTTCCCGGGAATGGATCTTTAAATCCACAGTTTATTGTAGGCATGTTATTTGCATCTTTTGGTGTGTAATAACCCCTTAAAATGACAGGAATCCCCTTTGTCTTAGTTGATATGCAGGTGGTAATAATGATGATAATAATAATTTTAATATTAGTTATAAGATCAGTTGGATGCAATAATTATTTTTATGAAATGCGATGTATTTGTAATAGAAGACTGTTTCATCGGTCCGTGTGTTGTCTTGTAAAACAAGGTTTGTGACAACACCTATCCCAATGGCCTTTCGTTAGATGACGGGAATCCACGCTGACTTACTAGATAATGTAGTAGCATTAGTTTTAAAGATTGGTTAATGTAGTGATGACTAGTCATCACCATCCCGCGCCCTTGCACCTGTTGGCAAGGTATAAGGAAACAACTTCTTGGAATATCAATGGGCCTAGTTAGACGATCCATACTCTGATCACATTAGCTCGGCAAGGCAAAGTCGCTACTCTCTGTCGGGTTTGCACAACAACTTATCTTAAACAATAACTTATACATCAGAAAGTAAAATACTACAATAGGTTTCAAAAAAGATTTCTTGAACGGATAATGAAATATGCTCCGGAAACGAAATCGGTCATTAGAAAATAAAATAATAGGTTGATGAATGTAACATTGATATACAAGTATCTTTATCTTGAACAGTGTCTGGGGTATGCTCTAGAATAATAATTATATTCCAAAAACTGTGTAGTAAGAATTCAAAAATAATTAAACAGAGAAATTTGTTTCCATGGAAATACGATATAAATTCAGGAAATTCCTAAATATCAAAAGGCACAACTACTATAATCGGTTTCATGAAGATATCTTAAATGGTTGTTGAGATATGCTTCGAAAACAAAATTGTACACCAAAAACTAATGCAAATTTGCTTAAATGGAAACACAAATAATATAAATCCAAGGCATTCCTAAAAAGGAAAAGGCACAACTACATAATATTTTTGGATTTTTAGTACAATGGTTCATAAGGATATCTTGAATCGTTGATGAGATATGCTCCGGAAACAAAACTGTACACCAAAAACTAAGTCAAATTTGTTTCCATGGAAACACACAAAAAAAAATAATTACAAGAAATTCCTAAATAGCAAAAGACACAACTAATATAATTGGTTGATGTGTGTATAAAGTTTCCAAAATATACCTTCAACGGTTTATGAGATATGCTCCGGAAACGAAATCGGCGAGGGATAAAAATGTTCATAAAATGGAATACCCGTCTTCATTAGCACAGTCGGAGCAGAGCGTTCATTTCAAAGGGAATGTATTTGTAATACGAATCTTTTTTGTTAGTAGGTTTTACAGCAGTTTCAACAAGTGCTGGTGAAACATCAACAGGTTCCGGAGAAACAGGTGCAACGAATTTGGCACAACTGGGTTCTAATATAACAGATTCAGTGACCCTCAATTCCATATGGTCTACAGTATCAGGTAAAGCGGATCCAAACGAGTCTCGTTCAACAATCCCAACTGATTCTGGCACAACCGATTCATCTGACTCAAATACAACCAATCGAATCGGTTCTGCAACAACAGGTTCATCTTTATCGAGTACAACGAATTCCACTGGTTCTGGAACATTAAATTCAACCGATTATGGTATAAATGATGAATATGGATCTAGTGCATCCATTACCACAGATCCTGGTACTACTACAGATGTCACTGGTTATTTCAAAGCAGGTTCTGGAACAACACTCCCAACTGGTTCTGTCATAGCTGGTTCAGGAACATATCCCACTGGTTCCGTCATTGAAAATACGATGGGTTCTTTAATAACTCCTTCTGCCACAACAAGTTCAGAAACCACTAACTATGACACGACAGATTCAACAGTTTCCAATAAAACGCATTCACTGTATACAGATTCCACCGGGTCTAGTACAACGGGTTCGAAAACAACTACCCGTGACACAACAGGCCCAGGAGTTTCTAGTCAACCACATTTACTTAATACAGATTCGGAAAATACGATGGGTTCTTTGATAACGTCTTCTGGCACGACAAGTTTACAAACGGCTAACTATGACACAACAATCTGGACAGATTCTGGTCAAACATATTCACTTAATACAGATTCAACCGGGTCTAGTACTGCCAATATGATTGCTTCTTCGATAAGTTTTTCTGGTACGACGAGTTCACAAACAGCTAACCATGATACAACTGGCTCAACAGTTTTTGGTCAGCCGCATTCACTTAATTCTATTACAGCAAATTCAACTTATCCTGGAACACCAAATTATTCCGGTACAACAAATTCAACAGATTCTGTAACAACATATTCAGGTACAACAAATCCAACTGGTTCTGATCCAGCAGCTTTTGTTGCGTATTCTAGCTCAACAAATGTCGACACGACCAATGTAAATGATTATGGTACCACAGTTTCCCTTAGTTTTCATGAAACAGATTCCTCTGTTCCAGATCCATATTCAACAGACTATGCTACAAGACATTCCTCAGATCCAGTAACATCAAATTCAGCTAGTTCTGGTGCAACAAATCCAATTGGCTCTGGAATAACAGGTAATGTTACTACAAATTCAACTGGTTGTATTTCCGCTAGGTTTTATATTCAATACTATGTGGCACATACTATGTTTGTAATTCGTAAACAGAGGAGAAATCTCAACGGTTTAGCATGCGTGGAGTTATTACCCTTGAATTGCATCGATGAAAAATAATATAGTGACACACAGTACACGATTTAATCCAAACGGTTGCCAAACTCGAAGACATTCTCCAAGCAAAAATAAATTGTATCTTACAAGGTGGTTATCTGAGCATCAGAGCTTAGCACGGTACAGTAAGATCTCCGACTTATCGGGATAATTATACAATCCGTGTTGCTATTACAGGTACTGGTGCAACAAATTCTGGTACAACTAATTTAACAGGATATGTTACAAATACAACGGATTATGGTACAATTAATTCAACAGGGGGTGTTACAACTACAACGGGTTCTGATACAATTAATTCAACAGGAGGTGTTACAACTACAACGGGTTCTGATACAATTAAATCAACAGGAGGTGTTACAACTACAACGGATTCTGATACAATTAATTCAACAGAAGGTGTTACAACTACAACGGATTATGATACAATTAATTCAACAGGAGGTGTTACAACTACAACGGATTCTGGTACAACGGGACCTATTTCAACTACAGCGGAATCTGGTACAACTACAGCTGATTCTGGCACAACGGATTCTGATACAATTAATTCAACAGGGGGTGTTACAACTACAACGGATTCTGGTACAACGGGACCTATTTCAACTACAGCGGAATCTGGTACAACTACAGCTGATTCTGGCACAACGGATTCTGATACAATTAATTCAACAGGGGGTGTTACAACTACAACGTCTTCTGATACAATTAATTCAACAGGAGGTGTTACAACTACAACGGATTCTGATACAATTAATTCAACAGGAGGTGTTACAACTACAACGGATTCTGATACAATTAATTCAACAGGGGGTGTTACAACTACAACGGATTCTGATACAATTAATTCAACAGGGGGTGTTACAACTACAACGGATTCTGATACAATTAATTCAACAGGGGGTGTTACAACTACAACGGCTTCTGATACAATTAATTCAACAGGAGGTGTTACAACTACAACGGATTCTGATACAATTAATTCAACAGGAGGTGTTACAACTACAACGGATTCTGGTACAATTAATTCAACAGGAGGTGTTACAACTACAACGGATTCTGATACAATTAATTCAACAGGAGGTGTTACGACTACAACGGATTCTGGTACAATTAATTCAACAGAAGGTGTTACAACTACAACGGATTATGATACAATTAATTCAACAGGAGGTGTTACAACTACAACGGATTCTGGTACAACGGGACCTATTTCAACTACAGCGGAATCTGGTACAACTACAGCTGATTCTGGCACAACGGATTCTGATACAATTAATTCAACAGGGGGTGTTACAACTACAACGGCTTCTGATACAATTAATTCAACAGGGGGTGTTACAACTACAACGGATTCTGATACAATTAATTCAACAGGGGGTGTTACAACTACAACGGCTTCTGATACAATTGATTCAACAGGAGGGGTTACAACTACAACGGATTCTGATACAGTTAATTCAACAGGAGGTGTTACAACTACAACGGATTCTGATACAATTAATTCAACAGGGGGTGTTACAACTACAACGGCTTCTGATACAATTGATTCAACAGGAGGTGTTACAACTACAACGGATTCTGATACAATTAATTCAACAGGAGGTGTTACAACTACAACGGATTCTGGTACAATTAATTCAAAAGGAGGTGTTACAACTACAGCGGATTCTGGTACAACGGGACCTATTTCAACTACAGCGGAATCTGGTACAACTACAGCTGATTCTGGCACAACTACAGCTGATTATGGCACAACAAGTTCTGCGGGTACTTCAAATTCAAATAATTATGGTACAAGAAAGATTAGAAACGCAAATAATGTATCGTATGCTTTATTTCAATATTTGGCGCGTTGACAAAGATGGGTTTACCTGCAATGGGAAAGGCAAATAATTGGCGTATGCACGGGGCCTTTAGTAGATTTCAAAGAGTTTCCCTTCATTAGAAACGCAAATAATTTATCGTATGCTTATTTCAATAATTGGTGTTTGGACAAAGGCTTTTAGTACATGGGTGTGAAACTCATTTCAATTCAGGGGCCACATAAACTAAAATTGTACATCAAATGGGCCGGAGCTATACAAAACTATGAAGATAAAGAGAATTTTATTGATTTATTTAACTAAAATCGTTACATATTATAATGCAATATAATACTTGGAAATGGATCATATTAACCATACATACGACTTAGATATCTTTACTGAAACCGGAAAATAATAACAAATGATTTCCACCGCTAGTTTCTAGAATAATCGACAGGTCATTTTGTTGAAATTTGTACAGCGGGTCACATTTAAACCCTTGGCAACCCTGCTTTAGTAGATGTCAAATAAACCTCAATGGACAAATCCTACGTAATTAGACAGACGGAACATCGACTTTTTAGTTTACTCGGCCAGCAAACTATTACAAATAAATTCAATCTGCCAAACCACATTTCAAGCAACAGATAATTTCATTTTATTTGTCAAGGTTGTTATACGAGGATCGTAGCTGATTATGGAACCATAACATCTCCCAACTATCCAGATAATTACCCATTAAATACAACCTGTACTTATAATATTATAGTAGCTGGAAATAAATGGATACTTTTTACATTTGAAGATCTACAGGTAACGATTGCTTTACTGGATTTTGTATAAATAAAATGTTTCAAGCCGATATTAGTAATTATCCAGCCATACGTATAGCAGCAGACCTGTTCATATTAGCCCTCATCTACTTCTTTAGTAGCGCTTCGTAATATTTGCCAAATGGTCACCGTTATTGATAAGCCTATCAGATCTTAAATCCTACAATGTCAAGGTAAGGGGATGAGGATGCTTTTCTGTCCTAATTACGGGAATTGTCTTATTTATGTAACAGTAACGTCCACAGCATGCCTATTAACCCTACTCTTCCCGAATGGTCGCTTCGTATTATTTGCCAAATGTTTATCCTAAATTTTAAAAATGTAGGAGGGGGGCTTTCTGTCTTAATTTCGGGAATTATCTTATTCATATAACAGTATTAGCCACGGTATTTCAGCTTGGAGACGACGCCGATTGTCGATATGATTACATAGATGTCAATAATAAAAATAAGCTGATCTGTGGTTCCAGAATACCAGAACCTTTCTTAATTTACACTCACGATGTGATAATCAGATTTTATTCCAATAGTAGCACATCGTTCCGGGGATTTTCTTTTACATTCCAGCAGAACGACAGAGGTAGGTAATCTCTTGTAATCATAACTCTTAATAGCAACGAGGGTAACTCAATTCTCTGCCCTTTGGTGTTCATTCAAATTAGGGCCGCTTTAAACTATGGGTATGTGTTGATAGGGACTACTGATATTTGCTTTGTGGGTCTAATCAGCTCTCTCCTCAGTGAGTAAGACGTTGGCTCGTTAATCCAGGGTCGGGGCAAATGGTTAACGCGTGAGCGTTGGATCAGAAGATAGATCTGTCATTGAGTCAAGTGGCGTGGTTTCGATTTCCCGTTTGTACGTGACAAGGAGTAGGGTCGTGGGTTTTTCTCCAAGTCCTTTGGTTTCCTACCACTGTTAAAGGCCCCTACGTGCAAGTGAATTATTAAAATGAAATTGAATCATGTTCGTCCCTAAATGCACTAGTTTGTGTCGAGTGGACGTTACCCCCCCACACACACACACACACGCACCCACACACACGCTCTCTCTCCCTTATCTGGATGTCACGTGTTTGATGCCAGTGTTGGCCGAGAAGGTTCATCGTGGTTCACCCTTGTTAGTGGTGTAGAACGGAGGGCCTGGCAAGGAATAACGTCTAGTCGTTCGGATATTACGAAAGACGGAGCTCCAATGTACACATTGGCGTGCAAGTCAAAGAACCTTCATTACACACTAAGGCGTATCCCTATTTTCATTAAAAAAAAATTCTTGTTTTAAGCCATATAGTAAAACGTGTATTAATTTAAATAAAACGTGTTTTAACACATATTGTAATTTTAATAAAACTAGTTTTAACCCATAGTTATGGTAAAGAAAAATAACCCATATGGCGAAAAGTGTATAATTTAATATACTTTATTTTACCCCTAACGTAGTAATTTTAATCAAATCTGTTTTAATCGATATCAATTTTGGATTCTGGCTCAAAATAATACAGGTCTCATCCATGGTTAAAGATCTGGTCAGTGTTGGGGTTAGTCCTTTCAGTTGCAGGTTGCAGCCAGTGTTGTCCATTTCTGCTGATTTCAATGGATTGGTGCACAAGGTGGTCTGGAACAAAGACAATTATAACACTACAGTTTTCTATGATTTATTTAATAGTAGTACTTGTTGGTGGTAAAAGTATTGTTTCAGCCCAATTGATCTATCCTTTTTAAATTTTCAGCCAGCCCTCTTACATACTATAAGAAAGATGATAGGAACAAGAAGCACAGAAAGTTTATAATGGGTTTCCTTTCGACTTCTTAATTATTAATTTATTCATTGAATTCTCTCAATCCAAACAACAATCAAGTGACAATAGATGCGCGCCGACTGTGTAAGAACATATCTTAACACATACAGCTGAAACACGTTGTCACGACTTTCCTCACCCCACCTCCGTTTCCCGTAGTAATTTCCGTTTGTAACAAAACCTTCCGGACTGACCACCGAGCACATCCGTAGATTAGGATTTCGTTATATCTGCGCATTTCAAAAGAAACAAATCTTGTTTTCCAGTCTGTAATCAGTATATCGAGGCTTCCAATGGAACCATAACTTCACCCAACTATCCTAACCAATACCCTATATATACAAATTGTATATATGATATTACTGTTCCTGTAGGCAAATGGATTACTTTAACATTTACAGATTTCCAGGTAAAACTTTATAGATACTATTTAACAAACAATATGATGAATCTGTTATAGATGCAATATGTAAGATACAAAGATTGCCGTTTTATCTGTAATAGTTTAAAAACAAAAAATACAATATTAATGTACTGACAATATTAGTCAACTTATGTTATTCAGGGCGAAAATGTGACATGATTTAACCTAGCTAGTCGTGTGTATCACGCGTCACTGCTATGGCGATAAACAAAGTCTTGGTGATACATTTGTATGCGCCCATAATATGTTAAAATGGTTGTATATGTAATCAACCTTTGCGTCGGTGGATCCGTCCGTCAGTGCACTGGAAGCTACAGTTTTTAGCGAATGTTTCTAAAAATGGCATTGTGACAAGGCCAGGTTTCCTATTTCTTTTCGTGGGGTTGGATGGCTGAATGGTTAGCACGTGCGCGCTGTATCATAAAGTCTGCCATTGAGTCAACTGGCGTGGTTTCGATTCCCCGCTTGTACGTGACAAAGGGAAGGGTCGCCTGTCCAAACTCGTGGGTTTTCTCCGGGTCCTCCCACTGCTAAAGACCCCTACGCGCAAGCGAATTATGGAAATAAAATTGAACCATGTGAGTCCGAAATGACCTAGTTTGTGTCAAGTAGACGTTAAACCCCATTTCTTTCTCTCTCTCTCCCTCTCCGTCAAAATCGGATTAATATTTTAAGAGTTATGTCCCGTATTCCCAGCTTTTTACACTTCTTGTCAGCGGAAGTGTTCATCAGCATTATGGCGATTCGTTCGTTCCTGGAGTTTTACATCCACTTCCACATAGGGTGATATCGCAGACAAGCTTATGGGGAGACGAAGTGCCCTAATTATATGGACCCAGCTCACCAATTATTCCTACCCCTTCTGCATGAAGATCTTTGTTGACTTTTTGGTGTAGGTTTTGGTGAATATTCGTGATTTTTAGGCGGAAGGATACATCATGTCTCTGCTTCCAGTTTATGTATCTCAAGTTTTCCATGGTAAACCTCATACGTGGTTTGGGGCAAAAGGTTACCACATTTTACTCTATTTGTGGTAGAAAGTGTGTCTACCCAACGAAAATCTGGGAAAACGTTAGAGTCGATCTAAGAGACGAGAATTAACATTAAAGTCAATGGGGAAATCATTGGTGATCTGTGGCCATATTCGTTCAAGTCAGATTATTATGTTTAGAGTTATGCCCCTTTGTGCTAATACCTGTCTTCGCTGCTTGTCAACATGATCGAGGGCAGTGTTTTCGTCTGATTTTCCTGTAACCTTCAGTAAGCTTTTAATATAATAAGCCGAGGAACAATATATTATTCCCCTTTTTGCGGAAACCTGTATATCAGATTTTTCTGTAACTCGCATGAAGCTTATATTAAGATCAAACGAGGGTCCCTATTTCTTTTTTTCAAAACTTTCCGAAAACACGGTGAGCATGACAAGAGCCTACAGTTATTAATATATTTTGTTCTAAATTTGGTTTGAAGCACTGGGGTCATGAGAGGTCGAACACGTAGGATATTCAGCGTGACGCTCTCTTTTGAGATCTATGTCCCTTTCCGAATAGCCCGAACGTGATCCAGGCTACAATCTTGTGTGGGCGTATTCCACACGTTTTTTAAATTATAAAATGGTACCGGTATACTGTGTAACACTATTTTAGTGATATCAGAGATCAGTTTCGGAAATATATGAATTATTTACATCGGAACAGAATATAACACATCTACATACAACACGATACATGAACTTAAACTATACAGGAACTAGACTACGACAGGAACACATCAGGACGGTGCATAACTACATTAAATCTACCATTCCGCCCATACGCCGGTCTCTCCGTCTCCGCTCGCCTCTAGTCATCTGTCTTACTGTCAGCAAACTCTTCGTTATATAACCTCGGACAATAGATAACTCATGACCATTTATGCAATTGTCTCTTTTATCTCGTCATGGCATGCTTATAGTGTGGAGCTTGTACACAGATCATATGTAGTTTGTAAATGGCATATGGGATTAAAATTACATTTTTAATTAGATCATAGCCAGTTCGTGCCTTAATAAGTTTATACAGAGTTGAAATGTCAATGGTTTAATTTGATGAAAGTTATAGAGTACCTGTTACAACTGATTCATTTATAGTTAAAATTTATGATCAAATTTATTTAAAAAAAACCTCTTTATCTTCCCAGCTTGAATGGGGGTCGAGTTGCCAGTATGATAAAGTGATTGTAGATGATAATCCATCGCTGTGTGGTAACTCCCTACCGGAACCTCTCCTGATTTACAATAACAATGTGAAAGTCAAGTTTAATTCCGATTATAGTGTTATGGGGCGTGGATTTTCAATGGAATTCACCAGCGTGGACAAATGTAAGTCAACACCCTTGTATATTTGTCCCTTTTCGAGGAATCCAATATTGTCCTATAGTAAGATTGATTGTTCATATTCGTAAGCGAGATGTTATTTATGAAAGATTTTCCACGCTAGTACTATTTACTTTTAACTGGATCAACTATTAAAGATACATTATGTAAGATTTAAATAAGAGCTAGCCATTCTTGCTATAATAGTTCGAAAATAGATAAAGTAAAATGAATATTGCGAACGAAGATATTTGTATACCCTTGTATATTTGTCCCTTTTCGAGGAATCCAATATTGTCCTATAGTAAGATTGATTGTTCATATTCGTAAGCGAGATGTTATTTATGAAAGATTTTCCACGCTAGTACTATTTACTTTTAACTGGATCAACTATTAAAGATACATTATGTAAGATTTAAATAAGAGCTAGCCATTCTTGCTATAATAGTTCGAAAATAGATAAAGTAAAATGAATATTGCGAACGAAGATATTAGCCTTTGAAGGTTGACAGGACGTGTGCAATAATTTCAACCACTGTACTGGTTGTTCGATCCTCCATTTTTGGCTTAAATCAAAATATGGCAGAACTGTTTTAATCTATCTACTATCGGAGAAATCCGATGCCACCGAGGGTTGATTATAGCCTGGATAAGTTAATTAATATCTAATTAATAATTTAGAAAACATTTCAGACCTAAAGAAAGACCCGCAATAGGCAGATTTAGCCCTTGCATAATGTATGTTTAATATGCATGTAATGTGCAATCATTAATAATTTGTAACTCTTATAACTAGCATTACTTGAACAGCAGAACCTGATTAAGCTTATTTACATTGGGCCCAGTGACATTTTTATACGCCCACATTTTCATGTGGACGTATATTGTCGAAGCCCCTGTCCGTCCGTCCACAATCGTCACAATTTTAATCAGATTTCAACAAAACTTGAAATATAGGTATACCTCCCTAAGATCTCGGTTCCTTTCGATATTGGCATGAGAACGTATATAGCCGTCGCCCCTGTCCATCCGCCTGTCTGTGTGTCCCTTCACGTTTTGTTTGTGGATACTCTACAGGTCACAATTTTTATACGCCCACATTTTCATGCGGACGTATATTGTCCGTCCGTCCACAATTTGTTTGTGGACACTCTACAGGTCACTATTCTTATCCGATTTCGACGAAACTTGAAATATAGGTTTATCTCCAAAAGTTCTCGGCTGCTTTCGATATTGGCATGTATCGGATCAAAACTTCGTTGATTATGGCTCCTGTTTGTACGAAAATCACGTTTTTAGCTTGTGGACACTATAGAGGTCACAATTTTTATCCTATTTTGTTGAACCTTGAAATGTAAGTTGATAACCCAAAGATATATTGTCCGTCCGTCCACAATTTGTTTGTGGACACTCTACAGGTCACTATTCTTATCCGATTTCGACGAAACTTGAAATATAAGTTTATCTCCAAAAGTTCTCGGCTGCTTTCGATATTGGCATGTATCGGATCAAAACTTCGTGGATTATGGCTCCTGTTTGTACGAAAATCACGTTTTTAGCTTGTGGACACTATAGAGGTCACAATTTTTATCCTATTTTGTTGAAACTTGAAATATAAGTTGATAACCCAAAGATAGATCTCGGTTCCTTTCGATATTCACGCATATCGGACCGTAACTTCCTGAATTATGATCCCTGATTGTACGAAAAATCGCGTTTTTAGCTTGTGGACCCTATAGAGGTCATAATATTTGTCAGATTTAAAAAAAAACCGTATTATTATATCACCGTTACACCCTAAGGACGGCCTAGTTCGAATTTCGTGAAAATTGGCCCAAAATTGAAAGACAAAATGGCCGCCGTTCGTTCTCAAATAGCGTAAAAATATGGTATATTAAGGTCGTGGACCCTATAGAGGTCACAATTTTTATCCGATTTTGTTGAAACTTGAAATGTAAGTTTATAACCCAAAGATCTCGGTTCCTTTAGATATTCGCGCATATCAGACCGTAACTTCCTGAATTATGGCCCCTGATTGTACGAAAAATCGCGTTTTTAGCTTGTGGACCCAATAGAGTTCATCATTTTTATCCGATTTAAAAAAAAACGTATTATTGGCCCAAAATTGAAAGACAAAATGGCCGCCGTTCGTTCTCAAATAGCGTAAAAAATATGGTATATTAAGGTCGTGGACCCTATAGAGGTCACAATTTTTATCCGATTTTGTTGAAACTTGAAATGTAAGTTTATAACCCAAAGATCTCGGTTCCTTTAGATATTCGCGCATATCGGACCGTAACTTCCTGAATTATGGCCCCTGATTGTACGAAAAATCGCGTTTTTAGCTTGTGGACCCAATAGAGTTCATCATTTTTATCCGATTTAAAAAAAAACCGTATTATTATATCACCGTTACATCCGTCGGAGTACGAATTTCGTGAAAATCGACCCAAAACTGACAGACAAATTGGCCGCCCTTCGTTCTCAAATAGTGTAAAAATATGGTATATCAAGGTTGTGGACCCTACAGAGGTCACAATTTTAATCTGTTTTTGTTGAATCTTGAAATATAAGTTTATAACCCAAAGATCTCGGTTCCTTTCGATATTCGCGCCTATCAGACCGTAACTTCCTGAATTATGGCCCCTGATTGTACGAAAAATCGCGTTTTTAGCTTGTGGACCCTATAGAGGTCATAATTTTTATCCGATATAAAAAACCGTATTATTATA